TCGAGTTTATAAAGTTAAATTTGTATAGCAACAATGCTGTATATTAGTAGCAGTACTGAAATTCTGCAAATCTAAAATATACGTATTGCATTCATAAATTGAAATTTCCGTTATACGTCCTTTTTGAGAGATCATTGAAAGGCATATAAACGGTGTTTTACTAAAAATTAGTTCTCAAATTTTAAAATATACTAAAAAAAATATGCGAATTGAAAGTGCAGAAGTTTGTCCCGGGTGCAAGATTTAAGAACTGGTTTTAGTCATTAATCCATCCACCGAACAACTAATGTTAGAATCACGTTCCCTTAAAAATCTTTGGAAGGAATGGTGAGCACTAATTTTTTTTTTTTTTTTTTTTTTGTTTTTTTTTTTTGTTTTTTTTTTTTTTTTTTTTTTTTTTTTTTTTTTTTTTTTTTCTATGCTAAATGTAAAACTTCTTTTGCTTTTTTCAACCTACGATGGTAGTGTCACAACCAAACTGATAGCTTCACCTGAAATCATAACCATATAATATCCAAACTGAACAGTGACACAATATAATATTTTAGGTTTCTGCGTTGATAAATATGAAAATTGTGCAGCGCAGTACATTTTCGTTTGAAAGACCTTTATGCACTATTTCAATAATAGACGAAATTTTTTAACAATTAGTAGTTAGAATCATTTAGAAACTGCCATTCATGAACATTAATGGAAAATGGGAATAAAGAGAGAGATTACATTTGATTACAATCCATATATTGCAACACAGTTTTATAATTATCGTTAATTTTTATATTTTAAGTTGATGATAACGTACGGTAGGAGATTTAGATGCAAATTTTGTAAAAGTGTATATGATATATCATATTAAACGAAATAAAGCTTCAGTAATAAAAATGCAATATGCAAAAATAGAGATTGTCTTTAAAAAGCCATATTTCGTTGCTGTGATAAGCAATCGTTTCTTATAACAACGAAAATAAGTGATAATTAAGTAATATAAATTGGCAGCAGCTTCGTTTTTGTCCTCCAGCGTCATCTGAGCTTTGAACACTTTAGAAAGCTTAATTAAATTTTACTGTTGCAATATTTTATTTACATTTAGCATGCACTGACTGGAAATCCTTTGTGATTAAGTAAATAAAAACACTTTTAGTTCTCTCTTAAATTTAGTTTTGAGCTTCAATCATGTTCTACAAACGCTTATGCCATTAAAATATAATTATTCTGTAATAAAATACGCTAAAAGACATACTACCATTTCGAAGATGTGAACTTTGCTATCACTGAAATCCTTGGCTTTTCTGAAATTATTTTTATTTCATCAAAAGATTTACAGTCTTAGCAACTTTTAACTTCTTAAAGAATAAAAAGTTAACTGTTACGATTTAATGCTTGACTTGAAGTGATTCGAATTTTCTTTTGAGCAGCTGTCAATTAATCACTTCATGTGCTTCCTGGTCCGAAACGTATCAAATAAAATTTAATCAAAACTTCCTCCATTTATACTGTCAGTGCAGCTAAGTTTATTACATTTTATGGTTAACAAAAAACTGTACTTGAAAAAATAAATCTGACAGGAGCATGGGCAAGTAATCGCCGAAAACATAGTTGTTAGATTCTTAGTTTCGTATTATGCGAATTCCTGTTATATAACGTAAACTAGTTGAAAGGAGAACTCCTCTAAACTTATCTTTTAATTAACAACCAAAAAAATAGCAATACCACATTATTATTATTATTATTATTGGTTGTTGTTGTTATCTGGTCTATGTATTTCATGGAAGAATGGTTGCCAGAGGTTCTTCAAAGAACTTCAAAGAGGTTGGTTTTCTACATTACTTTCATTTTTACAATTACAGATGTGTTTATTAAAAATACAAACATTAATTATTGATCAAAGGCCGCTTCAAAAAGATTACACTACTGAACGCGTATTGCTTGAAGGATTTTGTCTTCGAGACATATGGCTCCATTTTAAAGGATTATTATTATTTTTTTTTTCCTATGGCAAACCACCCTAAAACTATCTGGCTAAGGGTAGAAATTTATAGAGGATTTTATACGGAAAACTGCCTCGTGTTGTTAAACTTGAGAAAACCACGAAAACGCCCATGTAACAATCCCGTTTGTTGGAATTTGAACCCGCGTTGTACCACCATGGTTTAAGGAATGAATCAAATAGGATAGACCTGCAGCCGATCATTGCAATTTTGGTCACATGATACCTCTTCATTGAAAACATATAAGAAACTCTTTAACAGATAAAGTTCCATTTGGTAAGTCGCTCTTTATTCTACTAAGAGCGTTTAAACGAAACAGTTTTCTGCAATACTGTGGATACTTCGCTTTGATACGTGGTAATAAATTTTGTAGCATCAAGTTAAGCGTTTATAAAACGTCTTTTGTGTAGACGTCTCTCAGTGAAAAAGTCTGTATTTAAAAAACAGCTCATTTGACCAAGTTTACACCTTTCTATATTTTCCTTTAATTTTCCAGAAAAATTCTGAAGCTCAAAGTAGGCTGTTCGACTAAGTTTGTACTTTCATGCTTTTTTTTTTTAGAGGAGAAAACTGAACTTCAGAACTTTAATATTTCCGTTTTGGGTACTTTTATAGTGTTAAGTATTGTTTTTATTTATTTATTTGTTATTTGTTGCATTTTTATCTCATAATGTTGAAGTCTATTTATTTTAATAAAATTTGGGGATGCATATTTCTGTTTTATGTGTTTATTTCTTGTATAATGTTTTAGATCTTTTAATTCTGAATTTTTAAAGCCGAAGGACAGTCAGAACTGTCAGAAACTGTCTTGACGAAACCTTTTTTTGCCAAGTAGGCGATTTCTTGTCTACTGTGGCTTTCTAGAAATTTTCCAGAAATACATTTTCGAAGCTCTGGGAACGATTTTCCCTGAAGCTTCTAGAAGACAGGGCAACCTTATATAACAGGCTGCTTTGAGTCGTGGGAGTCAAGCTGTTTCAGAAACTTAGACTTGATTTAAAGAATTAACTGGATGAATCGTGAATTCAGAGCTGTTTAATACCTTTATATGTGATATTTCTGGTGCGTTAAGAAGAATTTATCTTATATCTGTGTTCCCCTTGAACTATTTACAGCTGTTTATTTCGCTATGTACTGTTATTTATTGCAGTAAACTGTCAATTTCTTAATCATATGGTATAGTTGTTGAAGAGACATTCACGAACTTGTAGCCCGCGACCAGTATAAAGAGAATTTACGGTCGAGGTCTTCCACAACGTGCTGTAGTAGTATGTCTTAAAATACTAGCAGAAAAGACTATGGGCTGAGAAGGTATCTTTCTTCAGCTTGCGTTCTGCTATTTTCTTACGGTGCATTAAAAAAAAAAAAAAAAAAAAAAAAAAAAAAAGAAAGAAAGAAACGGAATTAGGTCATTTTCATTATCATTCAAACCTGGTTTCCATATCTAGTTCCTCCCTCCATCTTTTTACATTTCTTCTCCGTGACTCGCTACTCCCTTTTTTTTCCTGCGAAAGATAAAATCTCTAGCGGACGGGCTTATCATGACACCACCATGCTATTTTTCCCCCCACTTAAATTAATTTGAAAGTAAGATCTAATTTCTGAAGGTCAGAGGAGTTCGTGATTTTAGACACTACGATAATTGATGGAGATGAAAGGCGTTTTGCCACTCGTCTCCAGTTTTGTGAATATTCCATTTATTGCCTTAAATTCTATTAAAATCTTGTCCACCAAACCGCTTGAATTATCATTTTTAGAATTGAAACTGTTCCTGATTAATTAATCTAAGATTTTTTAATAGAAATAAATTAATATTTTTAGGAAAGAACTGTTTCGAATAAATTTCTCTTTTCTTCTTCTTAAACAGGTAAGATTGAAAGGGATTATGGCATTTCTCCTGTACGCACTGTTGTGGTTTAGTGTTCAGTGTTTAGTTGTTAAGACATTATAGAGTTTGACCTTTTTGATAGCATAAACGCGTATCAAATTCCTAACAGACTTGGAGCGAATTATCGCCGTGCCTGAAATAACAGTAGAATCTTAAAAAGGTTTCAAAACAACATTTTATTAAGACAGATCTTGAACATAAACCCAATTCTTGTGCTTAATATAAGTGAGCACATGTGGCCGATGTAATTTAAAGTAACAGTCAAATTCGGATTTAAATCTAAGCCTAACAGTCAAACACTACACAATTGATTTTAAATTTACACAATTGATTTTAAATTTACACAATTGATTTTAAATTCTAAGTTGGTTTAACGCTTTTTATCGGCGCAACAATTAAATGTCAGCAGCAATAACGTAAAACCAAAGAATTGCAACAGAGCTAACGAAACCTAGTAACGTGACTTCGAGAGGCAGAATCACGCTGTCTTACAATCCTAAGCCTTCGAATTGAATACTTTCTAACTGATTTGCATCTCTGAAAAAAACGTAAAAAAGAAGTTATAGTAAAGGTCTAATCATAATAACTATCTACTAGTTAATTAAAATAATAATGACCCTACAACATCTAGCTGGCAACGAGAATATTCATAGTTTAATTTCCAGTGAAGAAGCAGTTTATTTTTTTACGTTTTCTATTCCTTCAAATAGTCTATATCAGGTGTAGAGAATATAAATAACTCGTTTTATATGTTACGTAGCACATATCTCAGTTTTAATCACTACTGATTCAATATTACAAGACTTTCTTCTTACATTCTTGTATACTAGTAAGTCTTTAATTTATCTGAATTTCCAAACAGAATCGTTCATAATTTACCAACAGGTGAATTTATTGATTCTTACCACATTTGATAAATTAGAAAGATAAATTGTTTGACATAATTAAGTGGAAATTTCAGTTAGATTTTAGGATAATTTATTTTTTATTTTTGCTCTAAATATCTTTATAACTTCTTAACTTGTCATAAAGTTCAATGTGCTTTTACAGGCGACCCTCGACATTCGTATATTCTACTTTTGCATATTTTTAAATAAAATTCAATTTTTGAACGTTTTTTGTCGATAATGAAAAGATTGCTGGCGAAGACTAGATTAAATGCAGATTCAAACACTGTGTTTAGAGCAAAGAATGGTTGGTTCAACAAATTTAAAGGGAGATATTCTTTGCATACTCTTAAATTCAGTGGAGAATCGGCTGATGTAGATAAAGATGTTGCGAATGAATATAGTTCCTCTTTGCCTAGAGTAGTTGTCAATGGAGAATACTCTTCTAGTCAAATATTTAATGTCGATGAGATAGGTTTATTTTTGAAAAAATGCCCAATCGTACATTTTTATGGAAGGAAGAATCAGACATAAAACTTCAAAATACTGGGCATATAAAATTGAAACCATTGTTAGTTTATCAAGCATATAGTACCAGACCATTAAAAGGGAAAGATAAAGGATTGCTTCCAGTCATTTGAAAATCAAATAAAAATGCCTGGGTTATTGTGTTAATATTTAAAGACTGATTCACTTTTTATTTCATATCGGCAGTTAAGCAATATTGTAAAAATAATAATTTACATCTTAAAGCATTATTATTCTTAGACACTGCTCCAGGATACCCAAAATCTCTGCAGAATTTATACCCGAAAATTAATGCTGTGTTTCTTCCTCACAGTACTACCTGCCTCTTACAGCCCATAGAACAACCAGTTATAGCTACGTTTAAATGGTATTATATGAAGACAATAACGACTGAGCTGTGGCGTAGCTAGGGTGGGGCAAGGGGGGACATCTGTCCCCGGGCGCTTAATGGCAAACCGCACATTGAGTTGATCAATGTTAACGAATTTCGCTTACTGCGCATGCTCAATGGTGTACCGCTGGCGTGGGAGAAAATACTGGCGACTAAGCATAAGAAACCCTACACAAGCCTGTTTGTCATGTAGGTCTTATCAACCGTTTACAATTGCAACAGTCTATTTCATTTACTTACAGTAATTTATTTGACCTTTAATTCAGTAATTTAAACTAGATTTAATCCTTAATTTGTTAAAGTATATATGAATGGAACGTGTGGTAAATACTCAATTGTTTTTATTCCTCAGAAGTATAATCAGCTAATATATCTTGTAATGTTTCTTGTTTTGTAATCCTTTTTAAAAGAAACTTTGGGTAGTTTACAATCGACATTTACACTCCAAGTAATGAAGCAGCTTACAGTCTGACACGTTTTAAAACCTCGAACTGTTTACGCCCAAGATAACACAGTATAAACCATATACTGTATTTATCTTCTTTTTAAATTGCGCCAAAGTCGTAACTGCGCCAAATTCTCTTTTGGGCACGCGCAGTAAGCGAAATTCGTTTAACATTGATCAACTCAATGTGCGGTTTGCCATTACGCTCCCCGGGCGCAGCATCCAGGGGGCGCCAAATTAATGCTACGAAATCTTTTAAGGAAATGTTTTCCATTCTTGGTACACAGAAAGGGGCGCAAATTCTTCAGTTGACCCCTGGCGCTGGAAACTCTAGCTACGCCCCTGCGACTGAGGCGATCAAGGTAACTAACAGGGAAGATGGACCAACATTAACAGATTTTCGGAAGGGCTATAACACATGGAACGTAATAAATAATACAGGAGACTCCATGGGTTGAAATAAAAGAGTCGACAATGAAAGGTTCCTGGAAACAATTATGCCCGCAAATTATGAGTAATTTTATAAATTTTGACGAAATACTGGAAACTATAATACATGAAATAGTTAGCTTAATGAATGAACTAAAATTGGATGTCAACAAAGAAGATATTCATGAGTTGATTGAATCTCACTCAGTACCTCTGTCAAATGACTATTTAATTCAGCAAGAATGAAATACACAATGAAAGTGAGAAAACAAAAGCTGATAAAAACGCCCAGACTATGAGAATTAAAAATATGAATGAAGCCTTCATGCATGTGGATAAATTTTGACTATCATGAAAGAATGTAATCCTAACGGATAATATATACTATCTTAAGTACATAGAGCGATTGAGGACACAGCATGTTATAGAAATCATTAACAAGAAAATGACTGCCTGTACATCATCTTTATTAATAGATTTCGCAAAAAGTAATAATGTTTTCCGAAAATCTTCATTGTTAGCTTCTGATAAACTATGCAAAAAAAAACTAAAATCATCACTATACACTTTTAATTTTTCGAAACAATTTTCATTTAACGATGCTCCACAATATCCCAAAAGAAATAAAACAGGTCAGCTTCAAATTTATTTTCATGGATTTCTATGATCCGTTCTAATGTTCACATTCAAACTATGGCATCTTTTGTCTTCGTTGAATTTCAGTTGCAGATGCAAAAATTCTGATTCTGAAGTCATATTTTCCCTCAGATTATCTTGCAGTTTATAAAATGTTTGAATCTATTCTGTAGTTGTAAAAGTCTTACAGTTTCATGTATAGATGCACTTCATACCGATAAGAAAGAAATGGCTTTTGAGGAGCATAGACGCACAACTTCGAGAACAACTTTCCAAAAGTTATAATAACAATAATTAACTGCAATTAAGTTCTTCTTTGAAATATACTGGCAATTAAAGTCATAAGCAGTTTCTATAGAAGAAAAAGTCACAGAATATTTCAAACGTGAAAATAAATTATTTACGAGGTAAAAGTTTTTCCCTGGCTGATAATTCCTATCTGCATAACTTCATCTATTCCTAAAAGAACTACGAATAAGCCAAAACGGTTATGTTAAAGAACAATGCTTTTACTAAAATATTCCTACTCTTAGGTCAGAGTTTTTGGCTTTAAATTACTCAAGTTGTCGACTGAAAATTTTATTATTCATAAATCATGAGTTGAATTGAAAGACTTAAAAGACTTCACAGAAAACGATAATAATCTAAAACTTTTCTTGTTACAGTGGCTACTCGGGGATCTGTAAGACCGGTTTCTTGGGCAGTCGTAAATGTCACTTCATACCGATAAGAAAAGTTGATTTGTATTATTTTTGTCGTAGTATGCGAAGTCAGCACAAAATTACACTTTTAAATTGTATTCTTCAAAAGACTACCTTTTTTGTAGTTACTGTAATTGTTTTCCAGAAAGAAGAAAGTAATTTAGGGTTTTGTTTGAATTATGCAAGCAAGTATGAGGTTGGAAAATGTAACAAGAGGGAAGACAAAGCCTTTGTATTCTTAAATTTATTTGAGCATGAAATTGAGATTTGAATCTCGCAAAGGAAGAAGTCACGTCTTTGTGGTATTACCTAAAAATCATGTTTCATGTTCTTAGAACTAAAGTAATTTCCTGTTAAATTTTTAACTTTTAGGAGAATGTAAAATAATTGTGGGGAAAGTACTATAATAGTCTGAAATACAGGTAATTTCAAAAGTCGTTCATACTAATTCTTATTAAAAACTCTTGAAGTGCTTTAAGCGAACTTCTTTGCATTCATTCTGTGTAGTTTTGGGCTTATGAATAGCACTTTCGTAGCGTTTTGGAAGTCTACAAAGCAAACCCTCTCAAATCCATTTGATATGAGGTATGCTTTCAAAGGATGAAAATTTGTGCAATTTTTATGGGAACTGTAGTCTACAGAATAATCATCACAAACCTCAAACATTGTTATCGTATTTTGTATTTGTTCTCATAAGATCTCCGTCTTGACACTATAACTACGGATCAGGTCTTGTCATTGCACCGAATCCTCTGTACTGGCCATTTCAACCGCTCATCATTGCTAAAAACAACACTACTGCGATACTATTATAATAATTGATACTTCCTCTAAATTCGTATAAAGTGAACAAACACTTGTGATACTACCATAAAAGTTGTGACTTTTGATATCACCGTGGGAAAATACTTTTATTGCTTTTGCATGAAGTGCTTGGAAGATAATTGTCTTTTGCTGTTGCTAACGGCAGCATGTTTGATTCCTAAATGCAGGAAATGGAAGCATCAATCCCATTGTATTTCATACGATGGAGTAGCCTTATATTTTACAATGATTCTGCAGAATATCTTAAACATCTTCGCTGATGTTGGACGGATGATGATTCTTAGGACGATACAGTAGGGTTCTTCTTTGACCTTTTTGAAGCCATCATTGAATATTTTCTTTTGGGCAATAATAGGAAAAAGCAGATATTCTCTGAAAATATTCAAAATATTGTCTATTTGTAATAAAGGATTCCTGCAGAATTACAAGTAGTAAGACATTTTTCATGCAGATATTTTTCGTTCAAGGAAGAATGGTGACGAACTTCGTTCATTGAGTGCCGATGCTATTAATGAATGCACAGAAACGTTATACAACTCTCCAGAATTTATTTTAGCTGTAAACAGTAATGAAATTATTACAGATCATAACATTTATTACACCCTAAATTAATATCAAACCATATGCTTATTCTTCCAATGCGTTGTATTTATTGCTATATTTATTGAATTACATTACCAAATGAGACAAACTATTATACTATACAATTAAATTTATATGTCAGTAATATCATATTATGTGTCAAGTTAAAACAGATAATTTCTGTAAGTACAGCAGTTTTCTAAATACTGGGAAGCGAAATATAACAATTTTTTGTGAATGTGTGGGTTGGTAGTACTCCCTGAATGTTCTATATTTTTTACCAGTGCCGCTTATTCGCAAGTGTTAACATATATTTCTAGAAAAAGTTTTAACAGAAACGATTCAAAGATTTTCTTAATGTCGTTTCATAAATAATTGTGGTCTTAGCATGACGGAGCGCTTGGCAGCGATGCATTGGCCATAATAGGACTAGTCCGTCGGCCACTCAGATCCCACCGTTTATTTATCTTCGATTATTTCTTATGGGGATATCTGAAACCTTTGTTTATAAAAAATCCACTTTACTTTATTAAGGATTTCGTTGCTGAAATATCATATGAATGATATTTGAACTCAAATATCATTTGAGAATGCCCATTTGCAAAAAGTACCTGGCATCTTTGAAACTATTCGCCAGTAACTGTATCGGCGTTGTCAACTTCTGATCAGCTCTTATCATTGCACTGAATCCTCTGAATTGCCCATTTCAATCACTCATCGCTGCTAGAAACAATACTACTACGGTACTATTATAATGACTGTTACTTCCTCTAAACTCGTCTGATGATACCATAACAAAGTTCTTGAACTGCGAAGTGTTTGTCCCATGAGTTCTGAATGACCCAATGTAAGAGCAACATCAATCTAAGACTGAATATCTCATACTTTTTTGGCGGCGATATCGTAACGTTTTCGTAAAATAGCTTAAATTTCATTCTATGTTCATTGACGTTGATTTAAATAACTTATTATTTCACCTGATTGAGTGTCTAATGCTGTATTTTCAAAAATGAAAATGAATTCAAGCTTGATATCTAAAAAATATATTCTTAAATATCTCAATTATCGATAATGTTTCTTTAACTCCTTTTATTTACTCATTTGTTGAAGCAATTATGCAATGTTTGTTTGTGAGTTAGACTTAATATGTTTAGTCTAATTATTTTTCATATATGAAATACTTTCATTCATGGTGTTATTAATATTATTATTATTTTTCAGAGATGGCTGGATCCTTTGGCAAAGATATCAAAGCAACTAAAAGGTATTTTTTAAGAATTTAAATATGTACTATATAAGCTCAATAGGAAAAAATATAGAAAGCTTTTTCTAAGCAGTATCGCTGTTTAATAACAGCGACGAATTAGAATAACTGATTGGTTTTTAGTAGTAGCTCATAATAAACATAACATGCATTTGAAGAGGCATCGAATTTCCTTTAAAATATATATATATATATAAGTCGTTGTTAGGCAATGTGCATTGCTTTGTAACTGAATATATTATAAGATGCTAGAAGAATTCTTTTTTAACCCATAGTGTAGCTTTGATTTGAAACCTTATGAGTCTGATTTAAATTTAACAGTATGACTGGAACTGTATTTAATGTTAAGGCAGTCATTAGTATAGTAAGAAGAGAAGAAGAAAAAGTTACAAAGTAACTTAATTGGTAACAGTAAAATTTTTTATCTCTCACTACTTGTGTTTTAGTACATAAATTAAGTTAAGTCTCGATATTAAAGGGTGTGAGATTACAACAGTTTGTCTAAAGCAGCTAAGAGTTAAAATTTAATTGAGAAACTGAACAAAAATCTCTGTAAATAAAATAGTTCTAACTATAGAAATTCATATTTAATGTTCGTTTACCAAATGGCAAACAATTCGGGACAAAAAAACAATACAGATGGAATACTCAAGGCAGCGAACAATTCTCTGAAGCAGAAAACCATCTCCGTCAATCTAAGTGATAGTTATTTAACTTAGACCCGCGTAACTAAAATGTGCATTGAACTTCTAGGCGGGACAAACTAGCACGAAGAAGAATAGAACAGGGAAGAGGAAAAAATAAAAATTAACTATTAGGCGAAGTAACACAGAGTGTGGTCATAAAAAACTTTCCCTATGTGTGAACCCCTAGCGGCCTATCCGCTCAATAAGTCAAAGTGAAATTTCAGATACTGCTACTTGAAGAAATGCACTCTAGATAGTCATGATTCAAAACAATAGAGCTTTCATGTTTACAATTACAATGAAAAAATTTCGAAACTTTGGAACGGCAGCACCCGCTCTTTTCCCTGCACAAATTGATCAGCGCATTGAAAAACCATTAATGGCGTTAGAATGATACACGTATGACGAACATTGCTAGCGTAAAATATTTGGAAAAAAAAAACTGACAAACGTAACATTGAAGTAGTAATATTGTTACATATTTTGTAGATAGATAGTTTTAGTGAAATCATATGCGAAACTGATGTATTTTTTTGTATAATGTAACATATAAAGCTTGAGAGAAACGATGTTCTGCCGGATAAATAAGAATACAGGAGCAAGTCTTTTTAACAGAGTAGAAGGCTATCTCGCTAATTTGGCGCGATATCCCCAAACTGACAGCGGTTTTTAGGACTATTTTTATCGCCAAATATAGCTAGAACTCGCCAAAAGTCGCCAAACTTGGAGAATATTTGTCGATATTTTTGTCTGGTCTCTGTATAACTGTAATGGATATTGTAATTGAATAACTGTAATTGATGCTTTGTAACCGTATTCGGCCCTCATATGTCTTCCAGTAATTTCGAGAAATTGTTATTAACAATCTCCCACATGCAATGCGTTATCATCTGCGAAGGAGGCCACGTTGAAAACTTAAAGTTCCAATACAGGTTTTTTTCCTCCTGTCCTCTCTATTGTCATTGCTCCTTTACGATGGTCTTTAAAAATGTTTTACCCCAGCAATTTTTTTCAGTTATGTATCATTCCAACGCTATTTATGGTTTTTCAATCCGCTGATCAAATTGCGCAGGAAAAAAAAGTGGTGGTTGCCATTCAAAAATTTCGAAATTTTATTCATTGTAATCCGAACCATGAGTTCTATAGTTTTAAAGTATCGCAATCTCGAGCGCATACCTTCAAATAATAATTACTTCGATTCTTTGAAACGTCACTTCGATTTATTCGATAGGTTGCTAGGGGTTTACATATCGGGAAAGTTTTTTATGATCACCCTGGATTTGTCTTAAACTAATTTTGTAAATGCTTAATGGTAAAATAATTTTGTAGTAACGTAATGTTATGTAAAAGGAGAAATAGAAAAATTGTAGATGTTTGTAAAGTTAAAATACATTATTTTTAAAAAACTTTGCTTTATTTTGCAATAAAAGCAGTACACTGTGGCAGAAACGCTGAAAGTTTTTGATATTTGCTCTGTCATATTTTAAAGTGTCTTTAGAGCAATTTATGTTATGTCTATAAAAAGCTAATAAGGATATTTCTAATTTAAAAAAATAAAATAAAACTAAATTTCGAAATAAAATAGTGATACCAGTAAGAGTTATAGTAAAATAGTGATAGCAGTAGTAGTAGCAGAAAAAGTGTTTTTACTCTAGAATTTTCTAGTCTGAAAACAAACAGCGACTATGGTTTGAAAATTCTCAACTGCTTTTTTTCTTCCCCTATTCCAAAATCAGAACTGGCACAGTTCTTTCCGATAGCAAAATTACTGTAATTTCAGCGGAAGAAGGAAAGCAGGAGACAAAAACTAGAAGTGGCTCGAAGCTCCACCTTCCTCACTTTAATTGTCCAAATGGATGGATGGACGTGTTTACGTCACTTTTTTCGATCTATGTAGGTCCTTGGCCTGCTATTGCAATATCGGAAGTAAAAAATTCTGCGAAATCTCGTCCGACGAGTACCTCACCTGCCACCAAGTGAAACACCTGCTTTTATTTTTTCGGAATAATCCTTTCTTCGGCCGAGTAACGCCGAGTAAACATAGGTTTAGTCCGAATGTGATTATCGACCACATCTTTCAAATAGACTCAAAACCATTCTGTTTACATTGAAAGAATGAGTTATTAATATTAAAGAATACGTATTTTTACTAAATGCTAGCAGCCTTTAAAAATTTTATCTACTGTGAGTTTAATAGAAATAAAGACAATGTGCTGAACCTAAATTAGTAATTATTATTAATTAAACTGGAAAAAGTTTTGAACACTTTTTTAAAGGTAAATGGCATTAAATATTCACTACTTAAATCTTCTAATTATATTTTAAGTCATATTATTTTTTTAAATAAATAAAGTATTCTGATTTTATTTATTACTAAAAATACTTGTCTATAAAAGTAAAAATAAATTTGGTTTCCTTCACGCCCATCATCAAGTACGTATTTTAGAATAGGCTTGTTTACAGATACCTTTTTTAAATACATATTAAGTTTCACTTAACTATTTTAAAAATAGTTCCCTTCCAATGAGATACAGAAATGTTTTTAAATTCGATTACTCCCATTTAACAGAAAATCGTATGAGGTTTGCTAAATTATGATTGCAAACATATAATTTTTCAAATTAAAATTTGTAAATTTGTGTACTAAACTTTTGATACTTTAGAGATCTCACATAAATAAAATAAATATGTGTATATATTTATGTGCAAACAGAAAGGTTAGATGTATACCTTTGAAAGTTTCTCATCGTCTTACGTTGTGTCTTACAACATTACGTTGTGTAAAATAATTTTTGTTATTAAATATTCAGTGTCATGTTACTTTAGATTATTCTTAAAAAGTACAGGAAAAGGCATTTCGGCTTTCATATTTTGCTTTTGTGAACATCGGTGAATTTTGTAAATTCTTGTGCAATTCAACCTCTGTTCACGAATTTAACTCGTTCTTGAGAGTTGTTCACCAACTGAAATGTTCATAAATCGAAACGATTTTCCCCATGGGATCCCATTCGTTTCTGGATACAACAGTACTTTGTGCGCAAGCTCATAACCAAAAAACCTATGGAGATCAGTATTATACTATAAAACAAAAGATACACACACTGGCCAATGAATTAGAAACCCAATCAATATTATATTGGACCACCGTTTGCACGGATAACTGCTCTGATTCGTTTGGACATCGAGTATACATACTTCTGGAGTGCATTTACGTCCAGAAAATACCACGCGTTTGGCTGCGGAATACCACGCGTTTGGCTATGCAGATCTTGTAAATTAGATGGAAGAGGAGAGTGCTGTCGGATGTGTCTTTCCACCAGATCTCATACATTTTCTATGGGGTTAAGATCCGAGCCATGTGGTGGCCAGGGAAGGTGTTGGAATTCAGACTGTTGTTCAGGGAACCAATTTTGAACACTTCTGGCACCATGTATAGTTGCATTAACGTCTATGAAGTATCCGTCGCCACCAGGGTAAAAATGCAACATTGCAAGGTACACTGGATCTGCCAGTATATCTAGGTATTTTATGGCTGTTTGTTTACCCTCGAAGAACACCAGGGCATCACTTCCATGCCAGCAGAACATGCCTCATATCATGATACTTTTACCAGACTCATGCAAGTGTGAGTAACCCAAGATGGATTCACGGCTTCGTGCGGTTCTCGCCAAATTCGACGTCTTCCATCAGTGCAAATAGGGTGTAACATGATTCATCCGACCATTTTTCTAATTCTCAGATGTCCAGTGTCTTTTTTCTCGACACCACTGTAAACGAATTCCTAGATATCGGGCAGAAATGAGTGGTTATTCTCCCGGTCACCCGACTATGCATTCCTATTCTCTGCAGTTCTCTGCGCATGGTTCGAACTGAAATCTGTTAATAGGAGCCTTGGTTGATGATCCGTGTCAGTTGAAGCACAGTAGAGTCCTTGTTCTGCCGTACAGTTCGTCGAAGACGGCGCCGATAACTCTCTTGGAAAACTGTGCTCGAACCGCAGTTTCGTCTTCTAGAGAAGGACTGTGGGTTCTGATTCCATCTTTTGGAAAATTCTTTGATATGCCCAGTGAGATTTGCTGTCTTCGAAATCGAGGCCCCTGCTCAACTGACACCAAAAATAAGCCCTTTTTCAAATGGTGAAAGATCTGTCGTTTTTCCCATTTTACTTTATTCATCGTGAAAAGCACTCTTACACCTTACTTATACTAGCATTCTAACCACGAGTAACCCACGTCATAAAAAATGTTTGCATATTTTATTCCTAGCGCACATTCAAATGAAAATATCAAAGATTTCTAATTCATTGGTCATTGTGTGTATAAGCACAATATTAGGCATGTAGCCATTATATATATATATATAAAATATAGCAATTTTGAAAACGTTTAATGGATAATTATAACGACACACACACACACACACACACATATATATATATATATCAGAAACAGCTTTTAAATTTTGGCATAAATCAGAGAAAACGTTATTTCAGTTTTGGCACAAATTCGACTGATTAGCAAGGATTTCAAGTAAAGTTCAAAGTCTTTGTTCTTAATTAATTGTAAAATCTGAAATGAGAACTACGAGCAAACCAGACATAAATCCTATGCGGCCAGAAAACCTGATATTTGGAGAAAGGAAGGATACCCATGAGTCTTACAACATACAGTCGTTTTTGTAATTTCTAGGCCTCCCATGACTCTCTCTCTTTCTGCCTATTATTTTAAAAATTTGGCTTTAGTAAATTAAGTTTGACAATTCTCCAGTTAAAAAAAATATTTTAGAAGTGAGAGGGGAATTATATTTGGCATAAATTCTGGTTAATAACTTTTTGCTGCATTTAATCATCAATAAACATAACAACTCTATGAAAGGTTGCTTTTCGATTAATTAAACAATGTAAGTTTAAATTATTTTAGAACCCTAAATTTTATTTTGAGTTTAAAATATCCCCTAATTTTTTTCCCTCATAACTATCATCGTTTGTGTTTATATGTCTTAAAAATATCCCACAGGGAAAGGTTATAAATTTATAAATTCACTAAGATTCACGTGTGTTTCGTTCTACTTTTTTAGAGTAAGTATTAACCAGACATATATCAATTATTGCTTTAATTGTACTAAAAGCAAGAAAATATTTTGTTTGCATATTCTGACGCGTAACATTTAAGTGCATAGTAGTCAAGTGATGAATTTATTTCTCTTGTTCTTGATTTCTTGTCTTGGAAGACGAAATTATGAATTTCTGTTCAAACGTGAGCTTGAAATCAAAGAGAGCTAGCTGTGAGCGTTTTATTTATTGTACATGTCACTATAATCAATGCACATAAATTAAATTTAATAGCATTAAGTAAAATAATGAAATGTGTTTACATGTGCAATATGCTTATAACCTGCTTTCAGAATACGAATATCGGGATGTTAAACTGAAGTAAGAATATATAACGAAAACATATAAAAAAGATAAAATCTAATATCTTACAATGAATTAAATTAAAATAATTCAGTTTGAATTTGAATCTGTTACGTAAAAAATTAGCCTGTTTTAGAGAAATTTCGTTTCAATAAACAGATACCCTCCCAAAATTCAAGGCTGGCTACGTCCATGATTAAGCAAGTATAATAGACTATAAACGTATTTTGTAATTTAACACTTATTTTATAAGTATAATTTTATTATACACGTAAGCGGAATAGACGGCGAAGTGGATTAAAATGTTATCGTTTCGATGCGAAATTCTCTATTTCACTCAAAATTTGTCCAATGCGATTTGATGTTGTCTACTTTTCAAAAATACCTGTAAAGTGAAACATATCATTGCTACTGAAACTATTAATGATGTAGCTTTTTACTGTTTTGCCAGAGTGATATACTTTTGTGAAAACTTTACATCTTACTCCATTTTACACAAATTTCGCACATCAGAGAACAAGGATCTTTGGTTCTTTCTTCTTGTAGTACATTTTTAAGGTCTAGTAAATTCTGCTCTCTTCACTATTAACTTCCTACCCCGTCATTTTGTCTCAAAGTGTGGTTCTGAACTTTTTTTGCTTTATGCACTTCTTTTGCCATTATAGACATCATTGCCCTAATCTTCTTTCCAGAACTCGAAAAATACGTGTACATTTATTCTAATTTCGATTATTTTTAATGCGTTTTATAAATTAAAGAAAAAATTGAAAATGTTGATAAATACCAAAACATGAATAAAAGTAGCTTTTACAGTCACAAACTAAAACTAAATAATTAACAAGTAAATAAAGAGTTGACTTGAAGCTATGAAATTCCACCCAGGAAGAAATACTCCCTGGTTGAGAACCTCTGATCTAGAGACAAAAAATCTTATATATATAACTAAAAAAAGTGATTTTTTTGTATTAATCATTGTTATGTAAATTTAGAAGGGAAAAGAAGGCAGATGTGAAAAATGGGCAATCTCCTTGCCAAGACTCGTACCTGGACCTCTCGAATACGCGCCGAATGTGCTACCGTCACACCACGAAGGCATACTGGAAGGAGACAAATACTCCCTCTTCTAAAGGGCGGTTGGGGATTAGTGGACCCAATCGCCAAATCCTAGTGTGGCAAAAAAATCATTATCCACCATCTTTTAGTTCGGGTGCCACTGTAGAGTTATTAGGGTCTTTTGACGCTGGAACGGGAGAGGTTCCTCACCGGGACTTGAACCTGACCTCCCGAATACGCGCTGAGTGTGCTTCCAGATACACAATGAAGGAATGAGGAAAGGAGGGAGAAAATCCCCCTTTTAAAGCGCGACTTGGTATTAGGGGACCCAATCACCAAATCCTGGTGGTGAAGAATTATCATCCACGACATTTTTAGTTCGTGTGCCACTGTAGATTCATTAAGCTTTTTTTCCGTCCCCGAGACTCGAACCTGGACCTCTCGAATACGCGGCGAGTGTGCTACCCTTACACCACGAAAGCAGGAAGAAAGGAGGGAGAAAGTATCTTATAATCGAAACCGACAGTACCTAGAATGAATGCCACTTCTTCATTGACAATTCGCCACTAATCCAAAAGCTATCTTGTTTCATGATAGAAACAAGAATCTAACCTTGCTTTTGGTTTCCTGTATGTATCCCAGAGTAGAGCAAAATACCATGCTGTGTCTTTTAATGAATACAGAAATCCCTGGAGACTTCTGAATGAGTCTCTCTCTAAAATGTCATTATTTTGAATCTGAAAAATTTATCCGGGGTCTTAGGTTACACCTGTCTACAGATAGGTTCTCTTAGGACAACAAAAGTTTGCCGTTGCATCTGAGTTTATGTAAGAATTCATAAATTTGTGTTGGTATCTTAGCTGTATCCCCACAGTTATTGATGCCACCTCTGTGCGTTAGATCTGGTTTAATGAAGCAGTTAATATAATCGCTAGAAAATAAGTCGCCGATCTTCGAATATCTCCAAAACCTCTTCGCTAAATTATCTGCAGTAGAATTACGAAACTTTGTCGGCCCTTGGATAAAATCATGAAATGAGAAAAAAACTGATTTACTGAATTTCAGAGACTTTTGTTTCTTCGTGTGGCTTCTTGAATGCCACAAGTAATCACAAGACCAAAGAGAGAGCAATGAAACCAGCAGAAACTACTGGGAAATTAGCTCCAAAATTATTCTTAAGGCAGTTCCTCGCCGCCTACCTCGATAAATTTATAACAATGTAATACTACGAGTAAATTCGAATAGTATGATTTAATTTTATAAACAACTAATTTTTTCCTTCCATATTGTAAATAGTTAAACTGGTCCTCCCTATTTTTACAATTTTTTTTGATTATTTTTAATTTTAGAAGGAATAAAGTTAAAGTTTTTTTTCTATGTTATTTCAGGCTTAGCTCCCTTCACTCTCTACTTCGGAGTAAAATTTTATGCTTCAGATCCATGTAAGCTTTTGGAAGAAATAACAAGGTACGTTTATATTTATATTATTTATTTATCATTCTGAATTTTTTCTCTTGTTTTCCTGATTAATCGTTTATACCAAATGAAAATGTAATGTTCGACTCAAAATAAAAAGTATTATTTCATACGCCCTTCAGTTGCATTTGATGTTTGAACAAAATAGATACAGGCTGGCATTACTTCTTTGAATATCGTTACTAGACATATATCTCCAATTAAAAAATTTTTCAAAACAGGGTAGGGAATTTTATGAAAATAACTTCAGCAGTGGGAATGTTCTACAAATGTAAAATGTAGCATTTCATATGACTTCTAGAGAACAAAATTTCCAGTCACAAATTTCCTTATGCTTTAAAAAGTTAGCTTTTAGAGCTCCATGCCGGTACGTGGAAAGATTTTGGACATATTAGGAAACGAATAAATTGCCTTATTATATAGCCATTTGAGTGTCTATTTCTAACTGAAATTCAAGATTAAGGAGTTCCGAAATAAATATTGCTAGTTTATGATTATTAATATTTCTGGCGACGTTCAGCACGCGTTATTAAACTTGTGGCTTACCTCATGAAAATATCAAGCACTCATATCTATCCGAATGACAAACGTAAATGTAGAACATTTTGTATTTAATTAATTAAAGCGTGATTATATTTTAATAATTAGAACATTTGTCTGCGGAGGTTGTATAAAAATTTAGATATACTTATACTCAACCCTTCCACACACAATTGTCAAAACATTTTGTAGAGCGCTCTATCTATTTTATTTATTTATTTTTTGATTGAAAGAACATGTATAAAATTAGTAAGCTACAGACACATTTTCCTAATACCTATATGCATATTCATACAATTTCACGCTTACAGAAGCAATTGGAAGTTAAAGCTAAAACAAATATTTCTTTTTCAAAATGTTTCATGCCTGCATCTCGAAAGTATAGAATTTTTAAATTAATTTAAAATTCCATAAAAAATTACATCATAAACTTCAGTAGTTTTTTTTTTTTAATTCTAAAAATTTTTTACTGGAGTATATAGCATGCCTAGAAGAATAAAACATCGCAACTCAAAGCGACTGAGTGCAAATTTGATGAGTACTCTTTCTTCAACTCAGATTCTTATCGCAGCGAATATTCTTATCCGCATAAAATTTAGTTTTCTTGTGCGTGACGTCAATAAAAGCCAATTTCAGTTGAAAGTCTTCTACGAAGGCATCTCTTACCTGGGGCAGCTAGACCTTACGTGATTGCCATAACCTAAATAATCCAGTCATCACTGAAAAAAATATTTTTGAGGGAAGCACACAAAATAAGAACTTTAATATTTGAGAAAGAAATTTTTTTTTTCAAAACTTTCGTAAATCAGTCATTATTATCATGTTCCAAATTGTGTAATAAATTATGCTTATAAGTGCTTTTTCGTCTTTTGTTTCTTACTCGAAAAAAAAATTGCAATGATTTTGTTAGTATCCAAGAGAGCTCCAGTTACCTGGATCACTTGCTCTCTTGTCTAGAAAAGTAAACTGATTTTTTCTGTTAATTTATTTATGTGTTTTAAATTTATTCAATAGTTAAATGCAGTGGATCCATATTTGTGGAACTTAATCCTTGGTTCTAAAAAGTATGAAGTTTTTTGTTTTTGTTTTTGTTTTTTGTTAGTATTATTACTCATAAACTTTACTACAATTTTTAAAAATTCTTCAAATCCAAAGTTCGTTATTCATATTAAAAAAATAACAGAATAAAGTACATATTTTAAAATTCAATTAAATTCATTTTGATTTTATATATTTGATATATATATATATATATATATATATATATATATATATATATTATGTAGAATGATTTGCAATACTCTGCAAATATGTAAGCCAGAGAAATATTAATGGAAAAGTAGTTATGCACCGTATACAGCCTATTGTCTATTTTTTCCTATACAGCCTATAGCTTATTTTTTTTCCTACATCATTCACTGCTTATCCCCCCAAAAGAAAAATCTTTTTTTCTAAAATGTATTGTCAAATTTATTTTACTCTAATAAAAAATATGGTTTAATTTTAATTAAGCAGAAACATGTATTGCGCTTTTTAATAGGCAAATAAAAGCGAAGTTTTAATAAATTGTCTAATTTTTTATCTAGTAAAAATAAAAACAAGGTTGTATTTTATGATTTAACGACAACGTAAACAATTAATTTCGCTACTCTAATTGAACTGGAAAACAAAGCACTTGAGGTCAATGAATGCAACAGTAGGACATCTTCGTAGAGGAACAGGAAACTGTCTCGTATTCCAGTCATGAACTAGAAGGGGGGGAAAGGCGAAAATTCCCTTGCAAATGCTCCGTTCGTTTATATTTCTGCCAGGTGAATTACCGGTGTACAACGGCTTTAGTCACTCGGCCAATGGTGGGAATTGGAAATGAGTTTAAGACTAAACAAGTAAAAAAAGAGTAATTGTAGTTATTAATTTTGTCGATAAAAATGTGTTTTGTTAAGTGGAAATAAAATATAATAGTAAATAACTATTCGCAATTTAAAAAAAGGGTCATTCCAATTATTTGGACTTTTAGGATATCCGGATTTTTTTGGATGTTTGAAGTTAGTGCAGTGTATAAAAATTTATATAAAGAATTTTATGTTCCCAGTTTGAATGTAGCCCGACTTTTAACTAAAGGTATATAATGCATTGCTTTTCACTCACACAGTTTAATTTCTGCATACCTCATAGCTGTATAACCTGTTTTATTTTCTGTTTTATTAACCTGTTTTATTTCAAATCTAAGAAACAGTTTAGTTTTTCATTTGATTAGTAACTATTTTCTTATATCAAATCTCATCGGTTATCTCCCACTTTTGTCAAGTCTCATTCAGCAGTTGTCATTTTCTGCTTGAATTAAACATGGTCGTTCCCACAGCATATAAGGCAGCTGCAGAACAATCGAAATACCAGACATTTGACATGAGAAAGTAGCTGGCCTTTATATAACCGTTACCCAGGCATCACTTTCAGCATACAAACTAACGAACGAGCTTGTTAATTGGTGCCGATTATGCCCTCAGCGACATGCATTGCTGCTTGCGTGTTGAAGAGTCCCTTGTCGTACAAGATTCCTTCAAGGACGGCATTGTAGGCTGAAATGTTTTCACCGACTATTATGAAACTCTCTTGAAAGCAGGAACGGTGCAAAAAAACTGTAATTGTTGTGCTCGCTGACATCATGGATAAACATTGTTTCTTTCTTCCTTAATTATCTCGATTGTTTTCTTTCTTTCCAGAATAAACTAAGCTTACCTTTGCTGCATTAAATGCATATTATTTAAAAGCTAAAAGCTATCTGCTACGTAAAGACATTATTTGCAATGTAAAAGCGTAGGTATTTGTTGTTTAATTCCCACTTTTCAAAATACCGTTTAGTACTCTTTTTTTTTTTTTTTTTTTTTTTTTTTTTTTTTTTTTAGAAAGCAATATTTTCCCTTAGAATTGCTGTGCGATGGTAATATTAAATTAGCGGAATGTTTTTATGGAATAAACTGAACCTTATTACGAAATTTTCCAAGAACTTCTTCGTAGAAATATCTCATTAAGACGTAGTAAATCTTATGAAAAGTTTTAGGATAACTAACAAGCCTCGTAAAAGCAATCAAGAGCATCTCTAAAAATTACTTGCGAATTTTTACAGTGATGTATAACAGCTTCGGCCATAGGTATTCCATCTCCTTAATGACAACAATTTTATCTTTGAAACACACTGAACGTAAACAGTTCTCAATTCTTATTTACATATATCTGAATGTTTTAATGCATAGTTGACATATTTTATGTTTGCTATTGACTCTGCTGTTCTTTCATAAATTCTTACATTTATCTCTTGAAATGGAACTCTCGCCGAGGCCCAAGCGACTAAGGCTTTTTTATTCCATTCTTCTCTGTTTGAGGAATTAAACTCATATTCGAAAGTTAAAAGAATTTTCACATTTGGTCGATTATCTCCCGAACATACACATTTTAATGAAATATGGTATAGACATAGGCTGATATAACACAAAACTTATTTCATACAAGAGATATGGTAAACACTCATGATCGCTCGTAAGACTCAACGGCGAACAGAAGTTGCAAGATTGACCAAACATGGAAAGTAATCGGAGGTGTAGTTTTCTCTAACAATTAACGTAGCTTCATACTGTACTTCAGACTAGAAATAAGGCAGTTATGAGTTCCCGCAGCAGGTTGGCCCACGCCTGCAGCAAAGCTAGTTTCAGGTTATGGAGAATTTTCACAGGCGCAGGAAGAAGTGTGGTTCTGTTTGCCTTGTCAAAAGGGTCCTAGCCATGCTCTACAGGGTTTAAGTCTAGAAATCCGGCTGGCCAGGTCATCGGTTAATATCTCTACTTTACTACGTGACTAGCCCTATGTAGACGAGAGTCTTTGTCCATAAAATGAATTGATGGTCGACTGCACTCCTGAAAAGGTGAACATAGGGCTCTAAGATCTCGTCTGTTTGGGAAAAAGAAGTGTTGTTTGCGCCCCATTCAGCCCGTTTAGCATTGTGCTAAAGGTCAATTGAATCATTTAAAAGGCAAAAATAACATTACACTTCACTCACAGCAGTCACGGAGTCTGTGTCAAAAACACGAAATCTGAGCCCCGTGCAAAATGATGTCTTCCTCGACTATCCAATATCCACTGCCATTTTAGTCCGTTTCTTAGATATTAGAGAACAGTAAGTTTCAGATGTTGGATGAAGATACGTCAAGAATCAGTGGTTAGACTAAATTCAGGACTCATATGTGGAAAGAACGGTTCCTCACTGATTCTTGGTCCAAAATCGATACAGTCTGCACCATGCTTAACGGGCTGTTTGGTACGAAAAAATGAGCGGGGTGCAAACAACAGGTTTTTTCCCCCAAACAGATGAAATCTTAGAGCATTGTGTACCCATTTTCAGTTTTGCAGTTAACTCGTTATTCATTTTAATGGACGAGAATGTTCATCCATGTAGG